TTCTGGTGTCACAGTTGGCATCTGATGGGACTAGGAACATCCCCAATGGCAAATGCTCCAACAACATGCAGATATTACTTCAGTTATTTCGGGTGGGAGGGTCAGGAGGGTTTGCATTGTCTGTCAATGTCATCTGACTTAGGCGGATCCAATTTATGTGTTTGGGCACAGGCAGGTGAAACAATTATGAAGTTATAGCATGTGTTAGTCTTTCAGAGGCTCCCTCTGCTGGTGACTGGTATTCACAGCAGCTAATTGAGTAACCTGGCTGAATTTGAAGGCAGCATTGCAAGGTCTCCAATTACCTTACTTCATTGGCCTTTTAAAAGCCTACCCATTCATTTCAGTGCAATGAGCTGGTTTATGCACACACTTCTTTCTCTCTCCGTTGTAGTGGATGGGGAAACAGAGGACTTCTGGATATGTATTCTCTAACTTGCTACCGTAGAAATATTGTTGTTTCAGGCTATTACTCTTTTAATAAAATCCATTTAGAAGGATTTTAGGAAAGGAATATCCTTGGGTAAACTGTTAACTTACAGAACCTCCTTCAGGTTAGGATAAAGAAGAGTGCTCCTTTTGTTGCTTATGTGTTTTGAAATCACAGATACTATCATAAGCTATTGCTTGAATTGCAACACTGAGATTTCAGCAGTTTCACTCCCTGCCTGGCTTGCGTAAGTTGCCTTGTTAAAAATGAAAGAGGGGGTTATTTGGTTAGTTCATATTTCTGGTTCATATTCCTTTGTAAATTACTTATTTATCTCATTATACCCTGCCTTTCTCCAAGCACAGGGCCAAGGGCAGGGGGTCAGGACATAAGCTAAAAACCGAGCAAGCTAAAAACACACAAATCAGTTCTAAATATTTAAAAGGAACTAATAAGTTAGCAGGTTAAAAACAGCACAGAATCAAAACAACCTGTAACTATTTAAAAGCACAACAAGAAGAGAAGAAATACAACACCCACCAGTCAAAATCTGTGCTGCAACAGCTATTTAGTGACCAGTGACCCATTTAAATAAAAAGGTCTTTGCCTGCTGACTTATTCCATTGTGCAAGCAGTATATAAGCTTAGTTACTTTTCTTTTAAAGGGGCCAAAATGATCATAAATAAATAGCAAAAATAATTTTTTAATACAGGAAGCACGCCCTTCTGATTTTACTACTTAAACAAATATTTCTTACAATTGGCATTCCAGTTGTTAAAAAAAGGCTGTGTTCATGCTCCCATTTACTGTGCTTCCAGTGTTATGTTTTTAAGCCATGTTTCCTTGGCATTATCCAAAATGCATCTCTATCCTGTGCTTTGTTGTAAGAGACTATAGCTTGAGGCACTGCTTCTCCAAACCAGCTTGACACTGATCAAAGCCCTTAGCCATTCCAAACTGGACTTTAGCCGAGGTGTGAACACTTTTGCATAGAGAAGCGGTTCCCAGACTGGGAGATCTTCATCCAGGCAGTCCACATTAAATATTCACATTGACTTTTCGTTGTATTTTTACTACTTCTTCCATTTCCTGTGGCAGGGAACTAGCGATGTTACTATTTTTTTCTAGGATTTATTTATTTAGTTATTAAAAAAAACCCTTCTGTTTGGTGGAAGAGTCAGAGCACTTCCAAATTCATTCATAGAAGGAAAAAAAGCACGGACCTTCAAGGCTGTTTCCTAGCCAAAGAAGGCACATGGCAGATAGTTAAGCATTTATTGTCAAAATTAACACACACAGCTTTGGATACTATGCACTGCAATCTAGCGACTAGGCAGCTATTCCCCTGCTATATGGGGCATTTGCAGCAACAGTACATAAACAACAGTCTACATACCTTTCCTGACGGGCTGTGTGCCAGAGACTGCTCCTGTGTGGAAACTTTCTCTGTGCATCCCTTTTCCATTCCTTCCTAGTTCTGGGCAGTGCTATTTTTCTGGAAAAAAGGAGGTGCCGGAACGCACCATGAACACCTCCCTCAGTCTCTTAGAATGGCAAGGCACCCAGCTGAGAGGTGCCGGAACTGAGTTCCTGTGAGTTCACCCTGAAAAATGCCCATGTTCTTAGGGACAGTGGTGCAGGAGAGGGTGGTGAAGCATCTAACAACAACAACAAAAACAAACAACAACAACAAAAACAACTGTACCACTCCCATCTGACTGGGTTGCCGTTCACTAGCCTGACCTGCCTCTTCCTCCTCCTCTTCTGACCCATCTTGTGCTCCACCCTCCAGCTCTGAAGCTTCCTGATTTTGATTCTTGCTTCCTGGCTGGTACTCCACCCAGAGACGAACGAAGGCTAACAGGCACCCGGGGCGGGGCAAACCGCCAGCTGCGCGCGCGTTGCGTCACTACGTACGACGCATGCATGGCATTGCTACGTACGACGCATGTGTGGCGTCGCTATGTACAGCAAATGCATGCGACACCGCGCATGCGTTGTACGTAGCGGTTTGCCACCGGCGCCGCCCAAGCGCCGTACGGACATTGGTGGGATCCTCCGCTTGCGGCTGTAGTGGTGAAGGAGGGATCTCACCACCGTCCGTATAGCGCTTGAGCGGTGCCAGCGGCAAACTACTATGTACAGCGCATGTGTGGCATTGCTACGTACAGCGCATGAGTTGTATGTAGCGGTTTGCCACCGGCGCCCCGCCCCGTCCCCCCTTGCCATGCCACTGACCCCACCCAATAGACTACTGTCAGACTCCACCCCCCCTGCCCTGGCTGCCCACTCGTCAGCGGCTTGCCAGTCTTGGGCATGGATATTTACTGCTTACATGGCACAGAAGTTAAAAACATTTACTGGGGTATTGTCAGGGACTGGACAGAGGAGGAATGGTGGAGACCGCCTCCCCAACCTGAACCTTCCAGAGACGGGGAAGACAGTATAGATGTACAACAGTTGTTTGTGGGAGGTCACAGCTCAGGGGTAGATGAGGGGCAAAGTTGGGATATAATGGGAGAGGAGGAGGAGGCAGAGCTGGAGCAGCTAGCTGACACATTATCACTAGAAAGCATCCCAGACCTCCCCCCCCCCCCAGAACTCGGCGAGCGTTGAAAGTAGGATAGCAAAGGGCTCAGAGACAGATGGCCCTAAGCAGCCACCGTAAGGTGGGTGGTGCTGTTGACAAATGAGGAAGGAGGAGAGAAGGAGTGTGTGGAGATTTACTCAGAGCAACACCATTACTCCAAGAGGCTGCATTTCTAAGCCTTTCTCTGTGAATATTGAATACACAACATTGGTAAGAACTTTCCTTGTCTTATCCATTCCTGGCAACCTATCGTGGTTTCCCAGCTCTAAATGTCCCTGTGGTGGGGCATTCAGACTGCTGGCTCCTTACATTAGAACTGAATTCAGCTCGGGGAAGCACAGACCCTCCAAGTGTCCCAGTTTTCAAAGGATGTCTCTGATTTAGAGAAGCCGTCCCAGTTTCTGATTTGATCCCAAAATGTCTCCCTTTCCCTTAGGATGTCCCTATTTTCACTGGAGAAATGTTGGAGGGTATGCAGTTATCTGACCCCCCAAGCTGTCTGAAGGCAATCCTGTATAGGGATGGGTTTTTTTTTTAAAAAAAGTTTAATGTATTATTATGTTTTTATATACAGTGGCACCTTGGTTCTTCAACTTAATCCATTCCAGGAGTCCATTCGACTCCCGAAACCATTTGAAAACCAAGCTGCGGCTTCTGATTGGCTGTAGGAGCTTCGATTGGTTGCAGGCTATTTGTGTGTGGGGGGTGGCAATTGAGGGGAGGAGATAGGGAGAATATGGGAAAGTCTTGCTATGGGAGCAGAAATCTGCCTATGGAAAATTGGAGTTCACCCTAGATACGTACGTGAGACTTTATATCTGATTCACGAGCTGTCAGAGTAGCTTCTAATTTCTGGTTTTGCATTGTCCTCCATGGACAGATGCTGTGTTAATAAAGAGCAGAGCCAGTTTTCTCAAAAAATTTAATTGCAGAATTATTTACAGGAGATGATCATAAACAATACAGGAACCAATTGATAGAGGCAGCTTCAGAAAAGAGCCAGGGGTGGGGTGGGTGTGGGGTGGGGTGGGTTGGGGGGTGGGAAAAGAGTGACGCACATTTTGTTTTTCTCCTTACAATTAGCTGAAGGCAAATAGAGGATCATGAAAAGGAGTAACTCAAGAATAAAACAATTTGGCAAAGATGTCCCAAACAAACAAACAACCCAACATTTTTGGTAAATAAGGTATTACTGAGAAGCAAGAAATTATTGGAGCAATGAAACATCATACTGTACATTCAGTTTAGGTATCCTGCATGCTACTTAACAGAACTTCTCAAAAGAACCATAAAAGCATGAGAAAGAGAATTACATAAAATAGTTTTTAACTCTAGTGAAGTGTAGATTTATACAGATGGCAAATATTTGGCACTCAGTTCATCCTCATTGTTGATATGATTTCTTATGTGTCTATATATATATTTATATCTTTTATATATAATCATATATATATATATATATATAATTCCTTAACGATAAACTAAAGAGCTAGTTTCCTGTTTCTAACATTCCTTGAAATTCTATAGGAGGCATTTAATTTAGTCCTCAGGCCACACTTGAATATTTTGGCACGTTTACATACTAGGTGAACCTATGAGTTTATTTCGGTACAGAAGAAGACTGTACAGCAATAGTGGCTTTTTTGTTTTTGTTTTGCTTTGTTTTTACAGGAAAGAACCATTCTAGAGTATTATTATTTGCACTGTTTCAAAGGGATTCCTGGAAGAAGAAGAAAATCAATGGATGGAATAATGTGTACATGCCGAGCCCTTTGAAAGTGAAATGAAGACAAAGATTAAACCTCAGAGGTAAATCAATGCAGAAATACGAATGGAGATTGCACAAGTAGTTATGAGCTAAGAGGCGGTGGCAGGGAAAGGAATACACAGGTACAGAGCACCTGTGAAATTATGATAAATCAGGAAAGCTCCACCCACATTTGTTAGCAACAGCTCAAGCCCATGTATACTCAGACATAGGTAGCTCAGTTGGCTAGGGCATGGTGCTGATAACACCAAGGTTGCAGGTTTGATCCCCGTATGGGACAGCTGCATATTCCTGCATTGCAGGAGGTTGGACAAGATGATCATCTGCAATTCAACAATTCTAGGATAAGTCCCACTATGTCCAGTGGGGTCTGCTCTCAGTTAAGGGCGCATAGGGTTGCAGCCGAAGTGTAGAATACATTATGGCTGCAATCCTATGCACACTTATCCAGGAGTAAGACACATGAAACACAACAGGATGTACCCCTCAGTAGACAATTGCACTGTAAGGCTGCAATCCCATACCCACTGAACTCTGTGGGGGCTTACATCTGAGTAGACATTCTTAGAATTAAGAGTTTTGCCAAATCAAGGGAGTTTTGCAAAATGCACAATCCAATTTCGTCACTGGAAGTAAGGCTGCATTTGATTATGAAAACAGGTGCTTTTTTTATCTATCTCAACTGAAAACAAACAAACAAACAAACAAACGGAGACCCCATTTGGTATCGAGCATGGCCTATTCGGAAGGAGCAAATGGCTACTTTAGACAATATTCCCATATTGTCTGGCTTCCATTCTTTGTCTCATGTTAAGTCTGCTAGCTTTTGGCTAGTATCAGGGCCGGTGCTATCCTGAGGCAAGCAATCGCCTTGGGTGGAAGGTGTGGGGTAGAGGATTAGGGTGGCATTCAACCCTGTTTGACTTCAGTAGATCCTCTGAAAGCAATGAACATAACTGAGATAGGGCCATTAATTTCAGTGGGTTTGCTCTAGCCAAAACTTAGCTAAATACCATCTTTAATACTCCCTGGCTGTCACCTCAGACACTCACGCCTCTGACTGCTTGACTGCTACCTACCCTCCCTCCCTTGGAGACTCCTGTGGCCTCCTCCCAGCCGTCACCTCCCTTTCCCCCTTTGCCACGGTGGCTACAAATTCTGCTTTAGTTGGAGTTGGAATTTTGCCGCTTTCAGTTAAATCTAAAAGAGCATTTCCACCCCCACAGAGGCAAAGCAGTAACTGTGCAGGCATCCTCCTGGCTATGCTGCCCAAAATACCTCGCTCAGGGTGAGGTAGAGAGGAAGGGGGAGCCCCAGATGAGAAACTGCTGGTGCAGCTGTCACCATTGATGAAAAAAACCCTGAAAGGGAGAGAATGCACTGGTGGCAGCAGCCAAAGAGCATTTCGTCGGGTGCCTCAGTGCTTTGTGTTGAACCTATGACACCTCCCAGTTTTTACACCAGGACAAATAGACTTAATGCTGAACATCTGTGTATGTCAGACCCCTCAAAGTGTCCCTATTTTCCAGGGACATCCCTGATTCAGAGAAGTCATCCTGGTTTCTGATTTGACCCCAGAATATCCTGCTTTTCCTGATGATGCTCCTATTTTCATTGGAGAAATATTGGAAGGTATGGAGTTATCCGACCCCTGAGCCGTCTGAAGGCAAGGCTGTATAGATAACTTTTATATATACAGTGGTACCTCTGGATGCGAATGGGATCCGTTCCGGAGCCCTGTTCGCATCCTGAAGAGAACGCAACCCGCATCTGCGCGGGTCGCGATTTGCCGCTTCTGCGCATGTGCGTGAGGTCATTTTGAGTGTCTGCGCATGCACGAGCGGTGAAACCTGGAAGTAACGTGTTCCGTTACTTCCGGGTCGCCGCAGAGCACAACCCGAGAACGCTTTAACCCGAGGTATGACTGTATATATTTTAATGTTTTAGTGTGTTTATATATATATATTGGAAGCTTCCCAGAGTGGCTGGGGCAACCCAATAAGATGTGTGGGGTATAAACAGTAAAATTATCATCATGGACTGGGACGTCCCTACTTTCATCGGAGAAATGTTAGAGGGTATGGGATGTCAGTGGCAAAAGTGGCAACTGGGCATCTACTATAGCTGCCATTGGAAAGGGGGCAAACTCCTAAATAATTTGCCTTACATCCCCATTAAATGATTCAGGTTGAGACAGAAATAAAAGAGAGGGAACTACATTCATCTTTGCTGCATCTGTGAATATCACCCCTCCCCCGATTTTTAAATTAATCACTTTTCCATGTGCAAGCTCCCACTTTGCCATTCATCTTATTATCTAATGTAACCTACTTTCTATAGACAATAATAAAAAAAGTTCCTCCATTTGGCCTTCAAGCCAGGGAAATGTTTGCTACTTATTAAATTTTCAACTGACTTATAATATACCTTGCCGAGTACCTCAGTCCCCAAAGGGAGATTTATCTGTGAAAACAATCTCCCTAACATAGTTTTCTCGCTGGTACTCTGTTTGAAATCAACCTCATTATCCTTTAGAGAGCCCTTTTGTCACAGAGGGCTTTCTGAGAAGCAGCAGCTGGTTCCTAGGGGTGAACCAATACATTTTGCTGCCTGAGGCAAAGTTCAATTGGTTCCCTCTCCAGAGTACACAAAGCAAGTCAAGATATTTTGGCATCTGTGGCAGAAAACCCCACAAGCGCCTGTGCATGTGCCCACCCTCCCTGGCAGTAAACATGAAACAAATAACCAACAATTTCAGGACACACAAAAATCAGCTGCCCGAGGCAGGAGCCCGTCTCTAGTTGGTGGTAGAGAGGAATATGCACTATAAAGAAATGAATGCAAGAAGGAAAAGAAATATTAGCAAAAGTTCAAGAAATGAAAAAACAAACAATAAAGGCAAGAAAAGAGAGAAAAGGACGGTGGGTAAAACACTATGGTATCAATACCCCCTCCATCTACCAAAACTCAATATATCCCTAGCTGCGTGAGAGACGACAAGCATGCAGACTACTGCCCAAACCATTTATTAGGCTCAGAATAAGCATCCAACACTAGGTCTGGTGCCAGGAACCAGCTGGGGCAATTGTTGGGCCCACGTGCTTAGGCAAGGCCTACCAGGGCTGCCACCTACCCTATAACTATCTCCCTGCACAGTTGCCCCAACACTATAACTGCCTGGCAGCACTGTGACACTTTTGGGAGAGAGCTGTTTGTGCTCTGATATGCTCTGGGCAGCTGCCATCTCACTTTGCCTCAAATGCAAGATGGCGGCTATCTGGCACCAGTTGGAGCTGAGAGCCGCACAAAAGCACTGCCACCAGGTGAGGTAAACACATTGTGGGTGGGTGTGCAGAGGGCTCTAGAGGGCACCACAGATGTAGTGCCTTGGGGGGCACTGGTGGCAGCCAGTGGTGGCCCAGGTCCCACTGAGGCTCGGTACAGACCCTGCCTGGGGCTACAATTTGTCAGCCATGCTGCCAATCATTTGTACAGGGGGAGGAAGCAAAGGGCAAATACAGCCCTCTGATTTCTCTTCCTGCCCATCACAGAACTCTGACTTGGACCACTGAATTGGATTTGAAGCCTAAGAACTACCGTAACTCTGTGTGCATGCCAATCTTCTCGTCGCCGGGATAAACATGCAGGTGCTTGCTGCCATGAGCAGATAGAGGTCTCTGGCTGGATGAGCGCGAGGAAGAAAAGAAAATGGGGAAAGACAGTAAAAGAGCCTTTCTGAAGGCTCAGGCACTTCGAACTCATTCCAGCACAATGCAATCATACCTAAATCCCTTTGAAAGCAGCAGGGTTGAATTTAAGGGCAGGCTGGAGTTGCTTTCACTGGAAGCTTTAGGTGCAAATAACATTCTCTAAGCGCATGAAGGTTTCTTGCCCTGGTCAAACCATTGGTCTCTGCAGCCCAGCGCTAACTACTCTGACCGATGGTAGCAATCCAAGGTTTCAGGCAAAGTTGCTTCCCCAGTCCTGTGACCTGGATATGTCAAGGATTGATCCTGGTACTTTCTGCACTCAAGGGATCTGTTCTGCCACTGAGCTGTAGATCATTCCGACTCATGCACTTTTTGTGCGTGTGTGCAAAACTATTATATAACTCCAACTCTAATAATAATGTTAGTGATAGCCCTATCTGACCACAAACAGAGAACTGAAGGCTACAAACACAATAGAAAATCTCTAACTGAGCAATCCTATGTACCCAGGAGTGTGTGTGGGGGGGATTCACAGCAGGGCATTTGCTGCATCTATTGCCCTCCTCACTCTGCCCAGAGCGGAAGGTGAAGAGGGTGGATTTCCCCCCACATTTCTCCCTGCTCCTTATCCCACAAATTTCCCTTCCTTTTGACACCAATGGAAGGGGGAAAGGAGGACGCCCTTTCTGGAGGTGTGGCAAGGGAAGGAGAGGTCTTTGGGTCCAGAGGCTCCAAGGTCTTCTTTGACCATTTGTGGCTCTACTGCCTCTGGAACATGTGCAGAGTGAGGGTAGCATAACATTACCAGGGTCTGTATAACCATTACCCTCTAATAAACAAACTCATGTGGCGAAGTGCACATCCGTTTGGTAACAGGGACATCCCAAAATAACATAGAGGCTTCTACGTACTAGAGGGACTCCTAAGACACCCAGAAGTTTTCAGATTAAGAGAGAGAGAGAGAAGGACCTGTGAGCATCTAGGACATATGGAGTGCAGAGGTGTCAACTGATGGGAGTGTGGGAGAAGGGGAGAACAAAGAATCGACCTGCCCAAGTCTATAACTGCTCAAGATCCTGGGGGATGACGTAGTGTTGTGTGGGAATGTGTGCCACAAGCGACTCGTGTCCTGGCACTGTGTGATGTTTCAGGACAGCGGGAAAAGAACACCTTTTCCTGTTCTCCACATTCCTGCCCTCCCTATAGCTTTAAACTCTCAGATTCATGGCATCCCCAAACCTAAGCCTCTAGTGCTATATAGAAAATTTGGGGGGGGGGGACAGTGATCCTCGTTCCCTTCTACTTTCCTGTAAGTCCCTGTCTCCCTGAGGCCTGAGCTATAAGGTTCATATGGCAGGTTGGATGGAGTGAGAAAAGAGGGGATGTTTCCTCACCCTTTGACTAGAATGAGCAAGCCCATGCATGATGGCTTGCCTGGGGCACCTTCAATGGGCACATATAGCACTTTGAATGATAAAACAGCAACTTCCACAAGCCAAAGCATTTCCCGGGGTAGCATCTTCTACATGAAAGCCACACCTTTCCTCTGAATTACCGTATTTTTCGCCCC